AGGATGAAAAACCGGTCCCGGCGAATAGGTCCGGACCTCTGGGGGTCGCGTTATGAAAAAATCATGACGTCGGGGGTCTGGGGAGGAAGGGAGACAACCAGTCATCTCAAACGGCTTTGCGTTCCTGGCAAGCGGGGGTTGGCGGATCCATATCATTTGCGCCTCTGGTTTCCAGGAAAGGGTACCGACATTCCGAGACGCAGAGGGCTACTTTTCCTTATTAACCAGCGGCCTTCAGCATTACCATTGTCAGTGTTTTTTTTGTTACCAGCGCTGTTAATTATTCTCTTGCGCAGGGTGTCTAGAGCTCCGACCACTTTATTCCGCGTCGCACCCCCCCCCCGCGTCCCCAGCGCCACAGAGGGCCCCCCGCGCAGTGGCTCTCTGCCCCGAGCCCCCCCGCGTCCCCAGCGCCCCAGCTGGAGCCCCGCCCACTGCCCCCTCCGCCACGAACGCTTTATTCCGCGTCGCACACCCCCGCTCTCCCCCCCCCGCGTCCCCAGCGCCACAGTGGGCCCCCCGCGCAGTGGCTCTCTGCCCCGAGCCCCCCCGCGTCCCCAGCGCCCCAGCTGGAGCCCCGCCCATCCCCTTCCGCCACGAACGCTTTCTTCTTCCGCGTCGGGACGCGCACCACCTCCCCCACCTCCCTCCCCGCGTCCCCAGCGCCCCAGTGGGGGCTTCCCTCCGCCCCGACCATTTTATTCCGCGTCGCGACGCACGCCGCCTCCCCCCTCCCCCCCGTCCCCAGCGCCCCAGTTGGACCCCCGCCCCGTGGCCCTCTGCCCCAAGCGCCGCCCAGTGCCTCCTCCGCCCCGACCATTTTATTCCGCGTCGCGACGCACACCACCTCCCCCCCCCTCCTCTCCGCGCCCCCAGCGCCCCAGTGGGACCTCCGCCCCGTGCCCCTTCCGCTCCGAGCACTTTATTCCGCGTCGCGACGCACACTACCTCCCCCCCCCTCCCCACCTGGGATTTGGGCCCCGTTGCTGGGCCCCGAGGGGCGATGTCTTGCCCCCTCTTCCCCTTCCTCCTCCACCTCCTCCTCCTCCTCCTCCTCCCCCTTCCTTTTTGTGCAAGAGCCATGGCACACGTGCCAGATTCCCCTACCAGTGCTTGCACTGAAGGGGTCCTAGCGGATATCGAAAGATTTGTCGAAAGTTCCAGTCCGATATCGGTGGGCGGCTGGGTTCCCGGGTTCCGGTTCCGGGATCCTGGGTTCCCGGTTCCGGGCCGATTTCGGTGGGCGGCGGGGTTCCCGGGTTCCCAGGTTCTTGGTCGATCTTCTTATCCTTCGGTTTCACCATCGATCTCATTACCCACTTTTCCATCGATCTTACTATCGATCTCACAGTCGATGTCAGCATCGATCTCACAATCGGTCCCACTACATAACGCACGAGCGATCTCACGATTGATCTCACTTTCGATATTATGGAATCGTCTTCACTCGCGATCTCACGCTCAACCTTACAATCGTCCTCACTATCAAGTCCACAATCGATCTCACAATCGATCTTAGTGTTTTCATCACTACTTTTCAAAACATCCACTGCTTGGGTTTGTTCTTTGGTGTATGTTTCCTGTCCAACGAGTAGTCGCCTGCGTATGATGACGATGCTGCTGATGATAACGTGTAGCATTATTTATCGGAGTGCTAACAGCATTATCAGTACGACCATGCACTCTTCCACTGTTACGATTTCTGGTTGCAGTGCAATTCTCATCAGGCGCCGGTAGAAGCGGCGGACAGGAACGGGTCCTACGCAGGCTGGCGAGACGAATTGCAGCTCAAGGCGGCTGAGTCTTACATGCTGGACCCCCTGGATGGGCCTCCGAGGCGCAGTGGACGTGCCCGCGAATCTTGCCCGTAGCTATCGCGCGTGGCCGGGCGGGGCGCCAGCCATCCTGGGACGGTGCGCCCGTCCTGGGGCCGGGGGCAGGGCAGAAGGGGTTAGTTAAAACAAGGCTAGGATCGGGATAAATCGCTCCAGAGCGTTCCGGAGCGCTCTCAGAGCGTTCCGGAACGCTCTGGAGCGGCCGCGGCGCCCAACACATCCTCCAGACCCGCCGATTCTCAGAGGTTTCGAGTTATCCCGATCCGATTTTGTCCCGATCTTCGCGTCGTTTTATCAGTGCACGGATTTGGGGGCTCAGGGTTGGCCTGGCCAGGCGTCCTTTCATCTGTGCGGCGCGCGCGCGGGGGTCGGCCGGCCTCCCCAGGCCCCCATCGCGTCGCGAAGGCTTCACGGCGGGAGGTGTCTCTCGCTGTTGTCGGCCGCTGGGGGCCTTCGCGGGGCCTTCGCGGGTGTCAGAAGACGGCTCAGGATGAAGAGCCAATCCCGGGAAAAGGGTCCAGGCCTTTGGGGGTCGACGCTGTGAAAGAATCACGACGACGCGGGTCTGGGTCATCCATCTTGGAGGGTTGCTCCAGCCAGCGGCGTTCAGAAAAGTGTGCAAGTGTGTGTGTGTGTGTGTGTGTCTGTGAGTGTGTGTGTGTGTGTGTGCCACCCTGGTTCTGATGTTCCTCCTATCAGGGAGCCCTCCCTCTTCTTACTCGCCGGTCCTGCTCGTGAACCCCTCCTCTCCTCCTCCTCCTCCTCCTCCTCCTCCTCCTCCTCCTCCTCCTCATCTCCTCCTCTCCTCCTCCTCCCCTCCTCCTCCTCCTCCTGCTCCTGCTTCTCCTTTTCCTCCTCCTCCTCCTCCTCCTTCCCCTCTTCCTCCTTCTCGACCTTCTCAATTTCCTCCCTCCTCCTCCTCCTCCTCCTCCTCCCCTCCTCCCCCTCCTCCTCCTCCTCCTGCTCCTGCTTCTCCCCTCCTCCTCTCCTCCTCCCCTCTCCTCGTCCTTCCCCTCTTCCTCCTTCTCGACCTTCTCATTTCCTCCCTCCTCCTCCTCCTCCTTCTCCTCCTCCTCCTCCTCCTCCTGCTCCCCTCCTCCTCCTCCTGCTTCTCCTCCTCCTCCTCCTCCTCCTCCTCCTCCTCCTCCTCCTTCCCCTCTTCCTCCACCTTCTCCTCCTCCTTCGCCTCTTCCTCCTTCTCGACCTTCTCAATCTCCTCCCTCCTCCTCCTCCTCCTCTTCCTTCTCCTCCTGGTGGACGTTCGCTCCTCCTCGTCCTCCTACTACTATTCCTACTCTTCCTCCTCCTCCTCTTCCTCCTCCTCCTCGATTCTTTTATCGTATTTAAAATGATACTGGAAACAAAAACGCGATCCCAATCTTTGTAGGGCTATAGGGTTATGGGGCTATAGGACTATAGGGCTATAAGGCTCTGGACCTACAGGGCTATAGGGCTATAGGGCCATAGGGCTATGGGGCTATAGCGCTATAGCGCTATAGCGCTATAGGGTTCTGGGCCTATAGGGCTATAGGGCTATAGGGCTATAGGGCTATAGGGCTATAGCACTATAGGGCTACAGGGCTTTAGGGCCATAGGGGCTATTGGGCCATAGGTCTCTAGGGTTGTAGGGCTATAAGGCTGTTAGGCTATAGGGCTACAGGGCTATAGGGCTATAGGTTTATAGGGCTAGTAGGGCTATAGGGCTACAGGGCAAAAGGATATAAGGCTATAGGGCTATAGGGCTACCGGGCACCCCGGCACCTGGGCACCCGGACACCCGGGCACCCGGGCGTGCCGCCGGAATCGGCGCCGCAGCCTAACCTAACCATATGAGTCTGTCAGGACCCCTACAGAGGCAAGCTCTGATTGGGGAGTTGTCCTTGTTGCACCCAGAGGCCAGTTTTTAAGGTGGGCCGGGCGTTTCGCCTGAGACGTCCTCATCATTTATGATTCTGAAGCTTAAAGGTTGGCAACAGTTCCACATATTGAGGGCGAGTCGTTTTCAAAATGTGGCTCTCGCCTTAGCGCCGCGCACATTCGTTTAAACAGAAATGCAAGAGCTTCACGGATTGAGGGCGAGTCGTTTTCAAAATGTGGTTCTCGCCAAAGCGCCGCGCACACTCGCTTTGAAAATGCGCAAGAGCTCCACGGATTGAGGGCGAGTGGTTTTCAAAATGTGGATCTCGCTTCAGCGCCGCGCACATTCGTTTTGAACATGTGCAAGAGCTTCGCGGATTGAGAGCGAGTGCTTGTTTTCAAAATGTGAGCCTCGCTTTAGCACCGCGCACACTCGTTTTGAACATGTGCAAGAGCTTCACGGATTGAGGGCGAGTCATTTTCAAAACGTGGGTCTCGCTTTAGCGCCGCGCACATTCGTTTTGAAGATGTGCAAGAGTTTCACTTGCTGAGGGCGATTCGTTTTCAACATGTGGCTCTCGTTTTAGCGCTGCGCATATTCGTTCAAACATTTGCAAGGGTTTCACGGATCGAGGGCGGTTCATGTTCAAAATGTGGTTTTCGCTTGAGCGCCGCGCAAATTCGTCCATAAACAATGCAATAATTGCGCGGATCCCCATGACCAGCGTACCAGAAATGGTGTTTTGGAACGATTCTGGATTATGCGGGTGTACAAGTTACGCTGGTTCGTGGTGTTAAAGTCCCAGGAATGGCGTTCTGGCACGATGCAGGATCGTCCAGACGCAACAGTCAGGTTGTTCTGTGGCGTTTGAATCCCGAGAACAATGTTTATCCATGCTTCAGGGTCTTCAAAAGGTTATCTTCCAACGAGGCAGTTCCCTCGATGGAAATGAACCGTTATAGGGGCCTATGAAGATGGAGCTTGGAAGGCGGGTTTATTCTTACATCGTTGATGACCTTTGGGTTTACACTGGTCCTCTTCGTCCTCCTCCCTTTCCTCCTCCCTTTCCTCCTCCTCCTCCTCCTCCTCCTCCCCCTCGCCCCCCAACCTTCTCAATCCCCTCCCTCCTCAACCTCCCCCTCCCCCTCCTCCCCCTCCTCCTCCCCCTCCTCCCCCTCCTCCTCCTCCTCCTCCTGCCTCCTCCTCCTCCTGGCTCTCCCCCCCCCCCCTCGAGCCCGCGCCCGACAGGCCGCCCGAGGCGCCGAAGGCGCAGCCGCAGGCGGACGCCGGCGGCCTGCGGCGCACGCTCGGGGCCGACGCGCCGGCGGCCCCGCCGCGCGGCGGCCCGGCGTCGCGACAGGCGGGGCCTCCTTCCTCCGCCTCGCCTCCGGGAGTGGGGGGGGAAGGGGAAGGGGGAGGAGGAGGAGGAGGAGGGGGGGGGAGAGAGGAGAGGAGGAGGAGGAGGAGGAGAGGAGGAGGAGGAGGAGGAGGAGGAGGAGGAGGAGGAGGAGGAGGAGGAGGAGGAGGAGGAGGACGAGGAGGAGGAGGACGAGGAGGAGGAGGAGGAGGAAGAGGAGGAGGAGGAGGACGAGGCGGACGAGGAGGAGGAGGACGAGGAGGAGGAGGAGGAGGGAGGAGGAGGAGGAGGACGAGGAGGAGGAGGAGGACGAGGCGGAGGAGGAGGAGGAGGAGGAGGTGTAGGGGTAGGGGCCAGTGGCGCTGCTGGTGCCGATCGGACCACATTTCAAGAGAAGACCTTCGCTGCCGCTGCTCTCGTTCGGACTTGCTCAGGACTTTGGGGACCACCCCATTCGCCAGGCGACCTATATATTCACGCCCCGCACGTGTGGGGGGCGCACAGAGCTTGCCCGGAGACCAAAGCTGCTCATGAGCGATACCCCCGCAAGGCCCCCCAAAACCATAAATGCAGAGGGAGGGAGGGGGTGAAGGAGAAGAAGAAAGCCCTCTCAGAAGGCGTTGGGGTTTCTCAGAAGCCCTCTGGCTTTCTGTGAAGTGTTCTGTGTTTTCGGGGTAGTCTTAGAAACTTTCTCAGAAGGCCAGTGAACTTCCGAGCCTTCTGAGAAGGCCCGCCCCCTTTCAGTCACTCCCCCACCCAGGCTAGCCGCCGAGGGAGGGCGGGGGTGAGGGAGGAGGGGGGGAGGAGGAGGAACTCTACCGCATCGCCCTGGAGCTCTACACCGTGCTCGCGCGGCTCGTGGTGGATAGTGTAGTTGGGGTGAAGAGAAGCCCTTCAGTACGGAGGAGGAGGGATAGGAAGAGGAATAGGAGGCAGAGGAGGAGGATGAGGAGCAGGGAAAGATGCAGACGAGGAGGACCATGCTAATGATGATGAGGACGAGGATAGTGGTAAAGATGATGCTGATGATGATCATCATGGTGGTGATGTTGATGATGGTGATGGTGATGGTGCTTATGTGATGCTGCTGCTGATAGTGCCGGTCATGATTGTGATGTTGATGCTGGCAGTGGTGATGTTGAGCAGGAGGAGGTGGAGGAGGAGGAGGCAGAGGAGGAGGAGGAGGAGGAGGAGGAGGAGGAGGAGGAGACGGAGGATGAGGGCAAGAAGAGGAGAGGGGAGGAGGCCCCTTCCTCCTCCTCCTCACCTCCTCCTCCTCCTCTCCTCCTCCTCCTCCTCCTCCTCCTCCTCCTCTCCTCCTCCTCCTCCTCCTCCTCCTCCTCCTCCCCGTTGCCATTTTGGCTCAAGATCGGGACAGGCCCGTTTTGAGTGAGGCAGCCCTTCCTCCAGGGCCTCCCAGCTGTCAAAGGCTGGCGGACACTCCCACCACCAGTGCGTCTCATGGCTGATGCAGTCCCTGCCGCGCCTGCCAGTACCCAGGAGCGCCAGATGCTTGCTGAGCTTGAAGAGATGCCCACCTTCCCCGACGGCGAGCGCTCGGGCAAAGGCCAGGGGACGGGCCGCTTCACCCAGCGCAAGCGCCAGGCCCTCGCTTCGTCCAGTGCCGGTGCCCCTGTTCCCTCTCCTCACGATGATGACGATGATGATGGTGACTTTCTTCGGCAGCTGTGCAGAGAGGAGTTTGCCTCAATGCGCGACACCATCACCACCGAGGTGTCAGAGTCGGTCGCCAAGACCATCACCTCCAATCACAACACGTTGCTCAAGATGTTGTCCTCCATGCAGGGCGAGGTGGCAAAACAATCCAGTGCCATCGAGGGCCAGGTTCAATCGGCGATTGCCCCCAGGCTCGACTCGCTCAACAGACGCCTCCAAGCCCAGCTCGACGAGCAGAAGCGCAGCATCGACGCGCTGGAGGGCAGAGCTGACGGGCATGACAAGTCCATCCAGGATCTTCAAGACCAGCTGGCGGAGCTACGTCGCCAGATGGCCATCGCTGAACAGACTCCCAGGAAGCAGCTGGCTGCTCCCACATCCTTCGACCGCGAGGAGGACACCACGATCGTCGTTGCCGTCTCGCAGCGACCGACTACCCTGGCATCAGTGGTCTCATCGCTGCGCCCATGGCTCGGCGAGATTGGCTTTGATGATGAACAGTATGAGATCAAGCAGAAAGGCGAGTCCCCGGCCAGGAGGTTCGAGATCTGTTTCTCGGGCTCGGCCACCATCGCCTCGCGCCGCGCCAGCAAGACCACCTCGCTCCTCAAGGGACCCGACGGCTGGAAAGAGTTCTGGGTCGACCCACCAGGCGCTGAGCGTTGCCGTTTGCACCTCGGCCCCGACAAGTCGCCCAAGCGTATCAAGACCGAGGTTACCCTGCGCAAGGCCAGGGCTATCGTCGAGCTGCAGTACCCAGGCAAGCGATTCTACTCCGACAGCGAGCATGGCGTCCTCTCCATTGGGTGGGACAAGATCATGCATGTCAATGTCTTCCACGGCGACACCCCGCCCAAGATCTACTGGGACTCTGCGCAGCTTGCCAAGCACGCCATGGCTATCGACACGCTTCGCAATGCTGTCAAGGAGCTCACGCATCCGTCCGACCCCAGCCAGTGGTGTCTTTAGCGCTGCTGGACTATTTCATCTTCCTCCCCCGCCGCCTGGGTCAGCGGCGCCTACGTTTCGGATTGCTACTTGGAATTCTCGGGCGCTTCTTCAGGCTGGTGGGGACAAGGCCATTCTGAAGAGAAAGTATGTTCTCAGTCTCCGTCCCCTCTCCACGGTCATCGCGCTGCAGGAGGTGCACCAGGACCACTTCCAGCTCGACTCGTTCTTCAGATCGATCGCGTCAGGCCTCACGATCCACTCCAGCTTCATTTCCGACGCAGATGACGGGCATCGGCGGGGTGGGGTTGCTGTGGTGCTCCCGCCGTTGGCTTGTCAGGGCTTCTCCGCTCCGTCGTCATCCTCCACTGTCCTGGTACCTGGCCGAGCGATGCTAGTCCGTGTTTGGGATGACTGCCGCACGCTCGACATCTTCAACATTCACAATCATGGTCTGTCCGCCCAGCAGGTTCGCGAAGTGGCTACCGCGATACGAGTATCGCAACGTGCTGCTGCCCTCGACCCCGACATGTACACCACCTTTGTCCTCGGGGACTTCAATTTTGCCACGCGCGAGGCTCTCGCGCTCGCTGCCCCCGCGGCGGCCGTGCGCAAGCTGTCGAAGTGCCACCACGTGCAGGCGCCCAAGTGGCGCCAGGCCCTCGCCCTCCTGACAGAGATTGCGTGCGAGGACCCTACGCACTACGAGAAGTTCAACGACTCGTGCGCGACGATCGACCGCGTCTTCTGCTCGATCACGGGCTGGCAGCTCTGCCAGTTGTATGTCCAGATTGGCACGCTTGGCACGCCAGCGGCCGTCTTTGACAAAAAGATCTCTGACCATGCTGCTGTTGTTCTCTCGCTTGCCTGCCGCCCGCCTCGACCAGTGGAGTCCCGCCCCATTCCCAAACACCTGTTCTCGGAGCCTGGTTTCAAGCGGCGCCTGGAGGGGCTGTGCTCCTGCATCCCGTGGGACTCCATGTCGCCCCCGTTCCAGGTTGAAAAGTACAAGGAGCTTTTGAAGATTTCGGCCGCGGAGACCAGGGACACCCTCTTTCGGGACAGGCCGCATCACCCGCGCACCTGCCTCCTGCTCGCTCGTGCTCTGGCCCGTGTGGTTTGGAGGCAAGACCTGCGTATGGCTTCCAGGCTCCAGGACTCCCACCCCCTGGCCATTGACATGATATCGATCACCGACGGGAAGGTCGAGCTCCGCCACCCGCCGTCCTTCCAGGCCTGGGTCGACCAAGTCCAGACTGAGGCTGCTGAGTCCGCGAAGGCTGAGCTTGAAGATCGCAGACGGCGTGAAGGTGACCGCGTCCAGATTCGTGCCCAGGTTCGCGCGCTTGAACGGCGTGCTCGTCTCTGGTCCCCTCTCAATCGAAGGATATCGCTCTCAGCGGTTATTGCGCCAGATGGCTCTGCGGTCAGCGTTCCATCTGACCGTCTTCGGGTGCTCTCGGAGCACTGGGCCCCTGTCTTCCAGAAAAAGCCGTGGGACGTTGCTGCTGCTGCTCCCTACCTTCGCCGCCTTGCTCCTGACCTTCCTGCCGACCTACACCTCCCCCCGCCGTCGAAAAATATGCTACGTCGAGCAATTCGATCTGCCCAACACTCCGCTCCTGGGCCTGATGCTCTCCCGCATGCTGCGTGGGCGGCGTCCTCTTGGGGGGCTGACATATTATGGGACGCTCTTGGCTGGGTACTCAGGGGCCAAGAGCTATTTGCGAATACTAGTGACACGATCCAGATTTTTCTGCCCAAAAACGTCACGGACTTGGAGCTCCGCGATGCCAGCTGTTCCCGCTCCCCCGGCAAGGTTCGAGTCCTGGGCCTCAGGAACTGTGACCTGAAGCGCATCTCATCCACCGTCAATCGGGCGATCCGACCTGCCCTGGTATCCCTCGCCCCGCCGTGCCAGCGTGGATTCATACCGGGTAGGAATTTCGGCAACAACATCCTCGAGCTCGACGTATCGAGTCGTCAGATGTCGGTCGTACCTCACGGGTCTACCGATATCCCTGTGCTGTATTCCTTGGACTTCGGCCAGGCCTTCCCGTCTCTGAATCAGGACTTCCTCATTCTCTCCCTTAGGGCCCTCAAGCTGCCCGAAGCATTCGTGTCTTTCGTCGCGTTCCTATATGCATCGGTGGAAGGGGTTGTCTCGCACCTAGGTTTGCTAGTAGTGCACATCTTCTGGATCCAGAGCGGCATCATCCAAGGTTGTGCCTTATCGGGCACTCTCTATGCGTTGAGTACGGCTGTCTTCTTGGTCGACCTGGCCTCTCGGGTGGAGGCCGCTGGCCTTGGCCTGGTTCGGGCCTGTGCTGACGACATTGGGGGCACGTTATTGGCCATACGGCACCTAGTTCATGTGTATCGGGTTATGCAGATGGCCTCGGACATGGCCAACCTCGCCCTGAAGGTCTCGAAATGCAAGATTGTCCCGCTGTCTGACAGGTTCTCGCCCGACCTCTCAGCCACAGTCTCCTACTGGGTCTCCCATCTGGTCCCCGAGTGGAGCTCGTTCGAGGTGGCTCCCAAGCTGCTCTACCTGGGCCTCTGGCTGGGGCCTGCTGTTGTTCCGTCCACTTGTTGGATTGACCCCGTCGCCAAATTGCGTCTCAGGGCCCAAGCCATCGGGCGGGGAACCACTCCTGCCAGCCTTTCCGCTACACTGTACAGTACTCGGGCCGTCACGACCATTTCTTACGTTGCCCAATTCTGCTGGCCGCCATCGTCAGTGTTGCAGCCTGAGTTGGCGACGCTCGCGCAGGTGTTCCGCATCCCGCTCGGCACTTTCGCCCTCGACTTCTGGACGCAGATCGCTCAGTGGGGCGGCGCGCGCTGCACGCGGTGGGGGCACCTGGCCGTCGCCACCATCACTCGTGCTGCGTTGCGCACTTTCCCAGGCTGGGAGAGGCTCCTCCAGCAGTTGCGGAACCACGCGAGCGCCGCCCCGTACGATGCCACCCTGTCCATGCTGGCGACCGGCAAGCCGTGCCCGTCCTTCTGGTTGGCCCCCGCCTTTGTGGAGAATTTGGCGCTGGCCGCCGCTGGCACCCCTCCCCCTGGCCCGCTGGCCGTCTTTGGTGCTCGTGCTGCCGACGCTGCGCTGGCTGAACTTCGTGAGAGCGGCCGACTTCGTCCTCGACCTCAGAGAGCTGCTCACGAAGCGCTGCGGGCCTTTGCGATGCTGAACAAGCCCATCACTGACCTCTTCGTGCTCCGCCTGAGGAAGTTCGCTGGCAGGTCGGCGGGCCTCCTTTCGAACATCGACTGGGGCGAGTGCAAGTGCGTCCTCGCCCGCTGCCCGTGCTCGTGGGCCATGGCCGTCCTGCGCACTTGGTCTGATGGCTGGATGACTTCGGCCCGTATCATCTCACCTGACGGCCAGAAGCACTGCGTATTTGGTTGTCTAGGCAAACTCGACTCGTTGCGGCACTACGCGAGATGCCCTGTCATGCACCGTGCCCTTCGGCAGGCTCTCGCGAGACCGTTCCCGCTCCCGTGGATGACCAGATGGGGCCTATCTGAACCCTCGCTGGCCACCTTCTCGGCGATGGCTGCCGCATGCAACATGTACAACGAAGCGAGGCTGGCGCCCGTGTGGCCCTTGCCCCCGTCCCTCCTCCGCAGCTGTGCTCTCGCTGGTGTATGTTCGATGCAGCTCGCGTCACCGCTGAAGTGCTCGGAGATCGACCGCGAGCAGCTCGGCCGTCGGGACTACCTCATTCGCAGTTCTTCATCATCTTCATCCTCGGGGTCGTCTCCACGGCTCACTCCTGCCGTTTCGTCGTCGGACAGCGACACGGCCACCGTCTCCACAGCCATCGCCACGATCCCGTCGGACTCCGACGCTGACGATGAACCTCAGCTGCCAGCGACGCCGCCAGCTACGTGCTCTCCTTCGGCTTCGGCGACCTCCCCCCCGCCTTCCTCCGCGCCCCCGTCGATGGCGCGCTCCTCATCAACTCTGAGGGCGGCCCCATCTCCATCAATGCCTTTGAGAACCTCACAGATGGCGTCCGCCTGCTCATCAATTTCGCCGCCGGCCCCAATTTCGCCCTGCTCTTGTGTGACGCCGTCCCCGCCAGTGACGTTGTCGTCTACGGGTTCGTATGCCTCGTCGCCTCCCATCGGCGTTAGATCGCAAGTCCCGTTGTCGTGTTCGGGCTCACTGTCGCCATGTGCTGGATGCCTCGTGACGCCCCAGCTGGGCCCAGGCGTTAGATCGCAAGACCCGTTGTCGTGTTCGGGCTACACGTCGCCACATGTACGATGCTTCGATGGGGAGCATCTCTCCCGTGGCGTTAGAATGCAAGTCCCGTTGTCGTGTTCGGGCTCGCCGTCGCCACATGATCGTTGCCGTGATTCGGGACGCTGGTCCGACGGCGTTAGATCGCAAGTCCCGTTGTCGTGTTCGGGCTCGCAGTCGCCACGTGTCGGACGAAATCCTGGGAATTTGGTGGCTGCACGACGTTCGGCGCGTTCATCGACCCCGGCTTCCGAGCGCTCCACTACACCGATGTCCACGTGCTTTCCGATGTCGCGCTCCCCTTCGGTGTCGCCGACGGCTCTGATGTCGCCCCCACCGTTGCCCTCTGAGTGCGCTTCGGAAAATGAGCAGCCTGTTTTATCTTTTCCCCCCCGCACGTCCGTCGCCCTTCGGCAGGCCGCCCTGGCCCCACCTCTCCCTCACGCGTCGCCCTCCTCAGACGAGCCAGATCTGACCTGTCACGCCACTCTCGAGGCTGGCCTTCCCCCCACCCGTCCTTCGCTCCCGAGTGCTGCCCCTGCCTCTGCTTGCCCCCCGCCTGCTCCCCCTCCCTCCGCGTTTGTGCCTGTCATGTTTCCCGATGTCTTTTCGTCGCTCGGCCCCTCGAGCTCATCGCTTGTACCATCTCTCGCTGGCGCCATCGCGCCCCGCCTGATTGAAATAGCCGCTCGCGACGTCTTCATCGCGGGCGGCACCGTGCTGGCCGACTCGGCCGTCAATGGTGCGCCCCGCCCGCCGCCGCCCGACGAGGCGCGCCGCAGGGGGTAGGCAGGAGCAGTGGATCCTCCTGGTACGCTGGGCTCCTCCTCCTCCTCCTCCTCCTCCTCCTCCTCCTGCTCCTGCTGCTTCTAAGTGCATTGTGTCCTGGTTTCCTTTTCACCATCCCTTCTCCCTCGTCCCCCCCCTCTTCGCGTCTCCCGCACTTCCTCCCTCCTCTGCCTCTCCTGCCTCCGTCATACCTTCCTGGCTTCTTCCTCCCTTCCTCCTTCCCTGCCCTCTCCTCCTCCCAATTCCCTTTGCTCTCAAAAGGCAGACCTGCAGCCGCTGGCTGGGGGGGAGGACCAGGCCAGCGCTTCCGCAGCGGAGTCGCTGGTCAGGACTGCCGTGCTCACATGTTCCATCCTCCTCTTGTCCTTCCCTTTGTTCTCTGTCTTCCTTCTCCTTCTCCTCCTCCTCCTTTTCCTTTCCCTCCCCCTCCTCCTCGTCATACTCCTCATCGTCGTCGTCCTCGTAGTCCTCTTCTTGCTCCGCCTCCTCCTCCTCCTCCTTTTCCTCCTTTTCCTTCTCTTCCTCCTCCCCATCCTTGTGCCCTCCACCTCAATATTCGTCCTCCTCACCTCCTCATCCTCCTCCTCCTCTTCCTCCTCCTCCTCCTCCTCCTCCTCCTCCTCCTCCGCAATCTCATCATCCCCCATTCCCACTCCTCTCCTAATCATGATCAATCTTTACCAGTTTTGCAAACAGCATGAAGCTTTCTCCGCATCCTTGACCTTCATCTCCTCATCCTGCTCACATGTATCTTCCTCCTTCTCCTCCACTTTCTCATCCGCCTGCTCCTCCCCCTCTGCTTCCGCCTTTCGCTTCCTCCTCCCCCCTCCCCCTCCCCATCCCCGTCGCTCATCCTCCTTTGCCTACCCTTACCCGATGGAGCAATTATGAAGGGAACCGGTAACTGCATGGGAACGTGGACGGAAACCGGGAGCCAGAAAGTTGGGAACCGGGAAGCGGGAACGGGAACCGGGAGCCGAAAACCGGGGGAGCTGGGAACTGGGAGCGAGAGCCAGGAGTCGGGAACCGGGAACGGGAATGGGAATTTGGGAGCCGGGAGTTGGGGACCGGGAGCCGGGAACGGGGAACCTGGAACCTGGAACCTGGAACCCGGAACCCGGAGTTGTGAATTGGGAGCGGGGAGCCAGGAGCCAGGATCTGGGAGACGGGAGCGCAGGACCTGGAGCATGTGTTCGGGAGTTGGGAAGCCAGGACGGAGGGAGAACGAAGGAGAGTGATACGCACATACATGCATATCTATATATATATATACATATATATATACATATATATATATATATATATATATATACATAGATATGCATGTAGATATGCATGTATGTGTATATATATATGTGTGTGTACACCATGCCACACAGACATACGCACATATGTACATGGGAGATCCCGACCCCAGGGCCCCACGCCTGTGCACTCTCGCCCCCACGCCCTGGGCGGTTCTCCCGGAGGCCCCCGAGGCTCCCGGACCGCCCGCGCGCTCCAGGAGCGCCCAGGGCATCCCGCCCAAGAGGCTTCCAGGACGCCCTGGCAGAGGCCCAAGAGCGCTCCGAGACCCCCTCGAGTCATGAAAAAATCACGACGGAAGGTTTTTCTATATTTTCCGCCTCTGGGGACCCTTACCGGCCCTCGGGACCGTCAAAAAACAACTCAGGATGAAAAACAGGTCCCGGCGAAAAGGTCCCGACCTCTGGGGGTCGCGTCATGAAAAAATCATGACGTCGGGGGTCTGGGCTCCGGGACGCCACAAGATGGCCTCGAGAAGACCCAAGAGGCATCCCAAGAGGGCCCCAGGAGGCCAAAATCGCCCCATTCCTTTCGGAGAACGTGCACTTGCGTCCTCATCGTTTCTGTTCCATTTAGACGGGGTCCAGGACTGCCCAAGATGCCTTGGATGGGGGCCACAAGACGGCTCCAGAGGGCCCCAAGACGGCCCAAGGGGGCCTCAAGAAGACCCAGGACGGCCCAGGAAGGCCCCGGCAGGACCCCAGAGGAGCCCAAAGGAGGCCTCCAGATACCCACAAGAGAGCCCACGGACGCCCACAGCACCCGAAGACGGCACAGAACAGCCCTAGGGCGGCCTCAGGGGGGTTCGAACATCGCTCAAAGATGCCCCAAGAGGCCTCCCCAAGAGAGCCCAACGGGCCCCAAAACGATCGTTGAAAGTAGATATTTTTGGGCTCCCAGATCCCAATCTATTCACTTTCGGCGCCTTCCTACTTGAATCAACGAGAGTCTTTCCATTTTCCTTTCTCTCTAGGGGGTGGGCGGAGACCCAATCTACTTCGATCAACACCTTCCTACATCACGTTTCTACCCACTTCCGACCGACGGGTGTGTGTGTGCTTATGTGTACGTATGTATGTACGTGTGTACGTATGGATGTGTGCATGTATGTATGTATGCATGCATGCATATGTGTAGACAGGTAGGTCGGTAGGCAGTCATGTAGGTGGGTAGGTAGATGTTGCATGCACGTATGTATGTATACATGCATGCATGCATGCATGCATGCATGCATGTATGTATGTATGTCTATAGACAGGTAGGCATGTAGGTAGGCAGGTAGGTAGGTAGATAGGTATGCATGCATGCATGCATGTACGTATGGGTGTGCGTAATCATGTAAAGTATGGATGCGTGGATGTATGCATGTAGGTAGGTAGGTAGGTAGGTATGTCTGTATGTATGTATGTATGTATGTATGTAGGTAGGTCGGTAGGTAGGTAGGTAGGTAGGTAGGTAGGTAGGTATGTGTGTCTGTATGCATGCATGCATGCATGCATGCATGCATAGTTGGGTGTATATATATATGCATGTATGTATGTATGTATGTATGTATGTATGTATGTATGTATGTATGTATGTATGTATGTATGTATGTATGTATGTATGTACGTGTGCATGCATGCATGCATGCATGTATGTATGTATATATGTAGGTATGTATGTTTGTATGTATGTATGTATGTGTGTATAAGTGTGTATGTAGTTGTGTATGTATGTATGCATACATGCATGTATGAATGTATGTATGTATGTGTGTATGTTTATACATATATACATATATACACATATCAAATGTATGTATATATATATATATATATATATATATATGCTCGTACCTATACGACCGCCCTGCGGGCGATAAGGAGGCTGGGGGTAGGTTGAGACCAAATGCCCACCCTGACTGACGTCCAGCCTGTCACCTTGATCTCATCTCTCTATTTCTCTGTCTCTCTCTCTCTCTGTCTCGCTCTCTCTCTCTCTCTCGCCCTCTCTCTCTCTCTCCCTCTCTATCAGAGTCTCCCTCCACCACAATGATGATCGCGATGACGATGAGATCCCACGGGACGCCCGGGACACCCGGGACACCCAGGACACCGCCCGGCCCAGTTGGGACACCTCCCGGCCACCGGCGGACGGGAAACGGACTTTCGCTCCTACTGACACCCGGGACACCCGGGACACCGCCCGGCCCAGCTGGGACACCTCCCAGCCACCGGCGGACGGGAACGGACTTTCGCTCCTGCTTCGGCCCAGCTACAGGAGGATCACGCGCAGCTTCGCCTCGCCCGCACGCGCGACGTCGAGCACGAAACCGAAGCCGATTTCCCGGTGGGGGGTCTCCGCTTCACGGCGATGTCACCCCCCAAACCTCCGATGTATGCACACGGGTAACAGCAGGAGCGGGCGCTCGGGGCTCTTGGCGGGCGGCCCCAGCAGCGCGTGGCTGTTGCAGGCCTCCTGGAGCCCTCCGGAGGCCCTCCGGGCCGCTTCAGGCGCCCGGGTCCGTCCTTGCTGCTCACCACCCACCAAACCACCCCAACCCAACCCGAAGGTCTCGATATGCCCTCCATTTCCAGTTGGGGGGGGGTCGGGGAACATTGAGAAAACACGTATGGAACCCGTACCCCCCCCAACCCGAAATTCGGGTCTTCGGGTTGGGTTGGGGTGGTCTGGTAGGTAGTCAGCTGCAGTCACCCCCAAAGTGCTCTCGAGAGCCTGGGGGACGAGTGAGAACGCGCCAAGGGCCGTCTCAGATGCTCAAGATGGCCTCAAGCAGCCACAATGGCCTCCGAGAGGCCTCCCAAGAAAAAAACCCAATACGTCAAAGGCACTGACTTCCACAAGGTTTCAACAGATTTCAGCTTTCTCGCCTATTCGAGACCCGACGCTCCAAGAGGGCCCAAGAGGCCCGAAATATCGCACCAAGCTGGTCCAAGAGGCCCCTAAGGGGGGCCCAGACGGCCCAAGAGGCCGCCAAGATGGCCCGAGGGGTCCCCAAGACACCCCAAAAGAGACCCCAGAAAGGGAACACCACCCGGCATTTCGAGCCCTCCGCCCTCTGACGACCCCCGTGACCGCCAGCATGCCCCCAAGAGCCCCCCAGAACCTCCAGGAGGCCCCCATGAGGCCCCACGAGAGCTCCAAGAGCCCCTCCCCCAAGAGGGACCCAACTGGTCATAATCATCATATGTTTGATTGATTTGGGCGGTCTCGCCTTGTCGAGCTTCCGACGCATCAAGACTCCCCAAGGGGCCCCCATTTATTCGCCAAGGCGGCCGCAGAAGCCCCCAAGAGGGCACCCAGGCGGCCCAAGAGGGCCCCAAGACGGCCCAGTTAGAGTGGGCCCCAAGACGACCCAAGAGAGGCACCAGAAAGGCAAAACACGAACCGACATTTCGAGCCGTCCGCCCCAGCTCCAAGATGACCCCCGAGACCGCCAGCAGGCTCCCAAGAGCCCCTCTGAACCTCCAGGAGGCTCCCAAGAGGCCCCACGAGGGCTCCACGAACCTCCCAAGAAGACCCAAGATGTCAAAGCATTGATTTTCTTTTGGTTTTGGAATGATTGGAGCGTTCTCGCCTTCGCGGGCTTTCTGACGCTCCAAGACGGCTCAAGTGGCTCCAAACATCGCTCCGAGACGACCCAAGATATTCCCGAGAGGGCACCAAAACGGCCCAATAGGGCCCCACGACGGCCCAAGAAGACCCCGCCCCAAGAGGGGCCCTCAGGGGGAACACGAATCGACATGTCGAGCCCTACGCCCCAAGATGACCCCTGGGACCGCCAGCAGGCCTCAAGAGGCCCCCCAGAGCCTCCAGCAGGCCCCCAGAAGACGCCCAACTCAGGCCCCAAGCAGCCCTCAGAAATCCTCGAGAGGCTCCCAAGACTCCCCGCAACCGCCTCAAAGAGAGACCCCAAGTCCCCCTTCGGCCTCCTGTCACCATTCCAGCGGACTCGTACCGCCGATTCCGGGCCGTTGTCCCCCCCCCCTCCGGTAGGCAGGTGCATACTCCAGATTTCGTACT